CCGCATGGCTTGAGATGTGTATATAATTTTAATGGACAACGATTTCACGCAATTAATCTGATATTCTCGGTGTTTGAGTTGGAGTCGCCTTTTAGCAAAGGGTAACTAAATATGTTTTTTATGTGTTTTATTATATTATTCTTATATTAATATAACTTAATTACGAGAATTATATGAGAAATATTGATTTGTGGTCCTATTAATGATTACAACTGCATTTGAATTTATTACAATGTTATTAGTGATAATCGCGTATTACACATAGAAATTTAGAAATTTGCGTTTAATCAGTTATTATGCAAACAAAATTGCTCACTAATTTTGCTAAAGCAAATTATGCTAATAATGCATAATTTGATATTTATAAAAAATTAATTAGTTTTATCGTCAAATGAATTAATAATTTTGTGACTGATTACAAAAGCAACTAAAACCCTTTAAATATGACAAATTTGTTATCATTTATTTTAAAATATTTATGAATTCTACGAATAATACAATTATACTAAACTATAAGGAATATAATTTCTTTATTTATAGAAAGCATTACATAATATAAAAATACATTCTTTTAATGTTTTAGATCAATATTATGTAGTAATTATAAAAACAATTGGAAAAAGTTCATATGATTTTAAAAACGTACCCGAGCCTTGAGGCATTCATTTAAATAAAGCCTACAATAGTATTAAATAAAAGTATTCTTTGTATTGATTTTCGTCGCTCTCATTCTCCACCAAATTCTTGTCATTTGAGTCTTAAAAATCAACGATTTTTGAGCACTAATACCAAAATAAATACTATAATATATATTTAAAGAAAACACTTTATGTTATCCCAAGAGTTCACTGAAAAATAAAATGTTTTTACAATCGATTAGATAAATTTGATGCTATTTTTATATTAAATAATAAAGTACTTTCATTCAAAATTAGGCAAACAATTAAATAGTTACGTTTCGATGCGTTCATTGACTCAATTGATTATTGTTTTAGCAAATCATAAGAAAGTGTTTCAAACGAGGCTTAAAATTTTCACTTGAAATATATCAGTTTGAATGGTTTGTGACACTTATTGTGATAAATATCCCCGGCACTCAGACTTCAAATTAATTCATAAGTCATTTATCACAACCTTTATAGACATTTATCAAAGATCAGTATCTATTTGCATACAAAACAATGTTTTGAATAACTTTTAATAAAATATAATTTTAAATATTTTCTATTTTAAAATAATATTTTATGATTTTAATATAAGAGTTAAAATTTGTTCTCATATTCTAATATTGTCTATATTTATTAAATATTTTATCTCCATGAATTTAATATCAATATAATATTTTATATATAATGCTTTTTTACAGTAAAGTATAGTAGTATACGAAATACAGTAATAACATTATTATTGATTTTTATGTTTTAGTTTTCTTTAATATAATATTAATATTTCTAAACAAAATAACTAGCTCAAACAATAACTCAAGAACAATAGATATTAATGGATATTTAACATTTGAAAATAATAAAATTTTACATACGTACAGTACTTTATTGTTTATTAGATATTTAACATTTACTTAAGAGATAAATCCTAATAAACGTTAAACCATACAATAGCGTGAACTACATAATTTCTTACATAGAAAAAAGTTTTTAACTTTAATTAAAATTACAAGTACATAAAAATTTACATTTTATCTTAGTGCTGTAACTTATATAAATAATTTATTTTTATAATTAACCAATTGCATGCCAGTCATTAAAATTAATGTCGTATTATGTTTAGCCTAATATTACGTTCAAACAGTTGTCTAACGGATTATATCGATATCTCGACCATCACTGCCTTTAAGGTGAAGAGACTATTGGGAAGATATTGCGGCGATTATGTGCCTTCGCCTCTATTATCAATGCACCCGCAGATTGAGTTAATTTTTACATCCAATCATGCCATCAATAATAGAGGCTTTTATGGATATTATGAGTTCATCGATGAAAGTAAATAACAAATCTCTCTTATGTACAGAATATCGTATAATAGAGTATTAGTTATGTGTTGAGACCTGGTTTTCATGCTATTATTCAATCTCAAGGCTTAATAGGACCGCCAGAATCGTCGCCTAAGAATGTGGTCGGTTGTGGCGGTAATGAGACAGGGATTGGAGGTATTCTCGTATCGCCTAACTATCCAGGTTTGTTTTGTGGATAATTATTGTGTTTTGGGTATAATTGTAATTATATTAATTCTCAATTATAGGTCCATTTCCGCGACAAATAGACTGTGTTTGGCTCATAAGAGTGCGACAGAATCAACACATTTACGTACGAATGGTTGAGCTCCAGCTCTTTGGTAGTATCGGTAAGCCTCTCGTATTCATTAGTAACTAATTATCATAAAAAAGTTTTTGTTTCATAAGAGTTACTGCAAATGCTTTTAAAAACAAATTATTTTATTTGTAACAAAGTGTGAAAAAATTAAGCTCTTATAAATATTAATAACTTTCCTAATTATACTATTTATTAGTTGTGTTAAATATTCAGTTAACAATATTTAAGTATTTTTTGAAACAAATTCTTCAAGAATTTGTAAGACATTCTCACAACATTTCTTATAACGAGTGATAAGTAGGGAATTAAATGTTTAGACATATAATGAGAAAATTATATGCTTTCATCCAAATTCTTTCGTATGGTTTTATTCATGAGAGAGAGAGAGAGAGAGAGAGAGAGAGAGAGAGAGATCCGAGAGCCTCGTAATGCTAAGCTGTCATCACAAAATTAGTTGACATTAAAAACATTTATCATTTTCTTTGAAAACAATGATAAGCATAAGAAGATGGGTAAAGACTGATAGAACTTATTGTTAGATAAGAGCTTAAAAGAAAGTTTAATTAAAGAATTGTAAAAACAATATCATGTTAGTAGTCAGATAAGCACTAACATCTTAATACCAACATAAATTTACATGACCTTTATGTGAATTGAATTGCCGTAATTATTATACAAAATACCATAAGATTTATACCCGTACATTAAAATTAAATTATAGAATATAAATAATTAGTAAAAGTTATTATAATATTTAACTCTTATATGTTTTATGTTGTTATAATTATATTGTGTGAGTTTTGAATATTACATAATTACAATTTTAGTTTTATACTGAAAATCTATATGATTGTATTAATTTGTATGAATCCCCAAATGACTGGACAGCCTATTGCAAAGACGCTCAATTAGCTATATATGACGGCTTCGAGAGTCTGGAGTTCGAGCCCAAGAAGCCGAAGCAATACTGCGGTGATCTCACCTATTATAAGATGAATCCCCAAATGACTGGACAGCCTATTGCAAAGACGCTCAATTAGCTATATATGACGGCTTCGAGAGTCTGGAGTTCGAGCCCAAGAAGCCGAAGCAATACTGCGGTGATCTCACCTATTATAAGAATGTCGAGGACAAAGTCCTACTATCAGCCAGCAATAGATTATTAATCAGGTATACATGTAAAATCGTAATCTCGTTGATTGTAAATCTAATGAATTGGTGGACGTGATTGTGGCACAGATTCAAGAGTGATATCACGTCTTCTCAATGGAACGATCAGGTCTCCAGAAATCCCATCACAGGATTCAAACTCATTTGGACGGCCGTCTCATTTAAATCATCCGGTATTTGAGTGTTTTTCATAAGAATAATATAAATTTAGTGTAATTTATATAAAAAGCGAAATTCATATCTCATTGCTCTCGAGTTTGTAATAAATTTTGTTGATATAAACCGATCGATACGGACCTAGAAATGAGTTTTTACTATAGATATGCATTAGAAATGTATAAAGAGTTTAGTAGTTTTTAAAAATAATAAAAATAGTAATTTTTGTAGTTTCTCATTGTAATGATTGCGTTTGGTTTTTCTAGTTATTAATAAAAAGTTTTTTATACAAACTATATTTTATGTTATACATGTACGTTTAAATGCATCTTAATTTCATTCCCTAATGACTTGTTTTTATATGTAATTATGTGTTGATATCTGGCAAGTAGTCGATAAATAATTATAATTAATATGAAGTTATCAAAATCTAAAGTAATTAAAATAAATTACATTAAATCAATTATTTTTGTCATAAACTAAACGCCATAATTAATACAAACATGCATTTAATATAATTATTAATTTGAATGCTTAGGTCAATGTAATGAGTTTACGTGCACTGGCAGTCAGTTTTGTCTAAAACCGCAAAAGTTTGGTCGAAATTGTGATGATTACCAGCACTTCTGCATCGACAACAGTCTTCAGTGCAATGGTGTTCCCAATTGTAGTGAACAGGACTTCTCGGATGAAGATAAATGTAATTTTCTTTTGTATTTTCTAATCTAATTCACAGAAATATATTTTCCAATTCTAAATGACTTTAAATGTATAATACATTGAATTAGTTATAAAGCACTTTAGACGGAACGCAAGGTTTTTAAACATAGTTTTTAAGTTTTTTAAAGGTTTGCAACGTTTATATACTGTTTAGTTGTTTTTTGTGAATTTAAATTACAAAATGTAGAATAACTTTAAAATGATTTTGAATTTTTATACCAAGAAAGTCTGGAAATCTCTTAAGAATTTATCAGAAAATATAAGTGTGAAAAATATTTATCACTAAAAACATAAATACTTTTTTAAAAATCTTATAAAAATATACCTTACTTTGTTGTAAAGTACAGACAAAGTATACTTGAAAAAATCTGTGACTTATCTGTTTGAGTGAAAATTCTTTGTGTAGTATTTTCTTAGTCCTATACTGTACTCATTGCTTAAAAGGCAATTCATATGAATTATTCACTGAAAGATTGGCTAAATTGATAACCGCATGGCTTGAGATGTGTATATAATTTTAATGGACAACGATTTCACGCAATTAATCTGATATTCTCGGTGTTTGAGTTGGAGTCGCCTTTTAGCAAAGGGTAACTAAATATGTTTTTTATGTGTTATTATAGTATTCTTATATTAGTATAACTTAATTACGAGAATTATATGAGAAATATTGATTTGTGGTCTTATTAATGATTACAACTACATTTGAATTTATTACAATGTTATTAATGATAACCGCGTATTACATATAGAAATCTAGAAATTTGCGTTTAATCAGTTATTATGCAAACAAAATTGCTCACTAATTTTGCTAAAGCAAATTATGCTAATAATGCATAATTTGATACTTATAAAAAATTAATTAGTTTTATCGTCAAATGAATTAATAATTTTGTGAATGATTACAAAAGCAACTAAAACCTTTTAAATGTGACAAATTTGTTATCATTTATTTTTAAAATATGTGTGAATTCTACGAATAATACAATTATACTAAACTATAAGGAATATAATTTCTTTATTTATAGAAAGCATTACATAATATAAAAATACATTCTTTTAATGTTTTAGATCAATATTATGTAGTAATTATA